GAGTCTTCTATGTGCTGATTTGAGTGCCGGTCGAGAAAACCTCCCGGCTCATACTATGAGCCTCATAGTGGTCGAGCTCAGCATCACAGCCAGACCCGTGCCACGTTGTGGACACCACTAGTAAAAGAACAAGATAGCGTCACACGCGGCAATTGTCTCAAACTGGAGTTCCCATTGTAAGGGTTCTCAAAACTGGGAACTGCCAGGTCATTGATCTGAGTGGGGTACTTGTCCAGTTTTTCTGTAAGCGCATGGGGAAGGTTCGATCAAACTCTCGGAGAGCAAGTTCTCGCTGAAATCGCTGGCAGACAGGTTGTTTCGCAGTGCGAAACTCGCACAGAATCCACTTCGCAACCAAATATCAACTCCTGTTGAGAAGTCTTATATTCTCAAATTGATAATGATGGATCCCAATGAAAGAAGAGAAATCAATGTAGGACCCGTAATCTACTCAAAAGCTTAGTGGGCGCATACTAGAAGACTTGTCCCACACGTTGGCGCTTCCGACTGCGCTCGATCTCTCACAGTTTGAGTCTGGCGATGCCAACTCTCTCCTGATCAGGCTGAAATTCGAGGTAGTTGGCAACCAGCATGATGTCAGGAAGTATCCACATACTTTGTGGTTTGCCCATTATTTCCAAATAGCATACTCCGCTTCGCATAGGAATATAGCTCCCATAGTCGAGCTCGAGCGCGACCTCCTGGCCTGCAGAGTCTTGAAACAAGAATCTTAGCGTCGGCATGAATTTACGATAGACACAGTCGACCTCCCAAACGTTGGCTGGCTTGTAGTATGTAAGCTTAACTTGAGTCTTCGCCTTCAGGGTCGCTTGCTCCTCAATATCCTTCAGAAGTTCCACCATTCTAGAGTCCGGAACATACAAGTAGTTGCTGCCGGTGTCGAGGTTTACATTTTCCTTGAGAGACGTAGACTTCCCATTACCAACTTGTAGCCCCTCCAGCACCGCTTCGAAATGGTTTGCAACCACAATCGGCACATATCTCAGCTGCCCTTTGTATAGTTTCGGATCGCCTCCACCGAGGAGGAGTTCTCCATCGAACCCCTTCTTAAAGAGGGTTTCGGGCTTCAAATAGAGGGAGAATGTGCTCTCCTTGATAAGCTCCCGGCCCACTAATTGTGCCATAATAGAGGGATAGTTTGGATCACGGACTGGTCCGAGGCCGAATATAGGGTGCGGCACGTATACAGTAGGGGGAGGGTTATAGCCTGTTATCAGACCGAACTTGATGTCTCTGACTGTCGTCGAACCAAATCGTACTACTCCGATATGCTGAAAGACTGTAGCTGCTACGTTGCCTCCAAATATAATGGTCGTGGTTTTACCAGGTACACAACCCTGCGGACATTTATAGCACTTGAAGACCAGCTTCTCGCATGCTCCTACTCCGAGCTCTTTCTCATACCAATCCTTCCACACCCACAAGGGGGCAGACGAACCTGTGTCCACGACCGCCGCCATCTTTTGACCGTCGGCTTGCAGATCGACATGGAGACTCAAGAGCGGCATTCTGGCATCCTTCACGAGTCGGCGATGGACATCAAGTCTCAGAACATCCCCAAGGATACCTCCTGTCACGCTGGCGATGAAAATGATACGTGCTGATAGATTCATGATTGGGACAATAAGAACTGCTAGGTTCGAAACAATATTGCCATCAATGATATGCGCGACAACGAAGTGCTTCTGCGTCCAACTTCCGAGACACACTATTCGGATTGCGCTTCTCTCAGTACGTTAGCAAGCAGAGTTAGTATGTACGGTGGCTTGTCCTCAGTGATGATGATCGTTCTCTTGAAAAGCACTCCGGAATATTCTTGACAGTACACAGCAGATGCTGAAGAGGACAAGTCCCCAATAGTGATGCTATTATACTGTCTCCTATGAAGTATAGTAATACTGTCTCCTATGTTTATTATACACGCATGCGCATCGCCTGAACATTGGGCCTGTGTCACGAGGATACTCAATTCAAGGCGTCTCAGGTTGGAGAGTAACTTAGGGAGTTGCTTAAGGTATACTTGAGAAGTACTCAGCTCATTTCACAATGGTTAGGCACAAGCCTGCTACTAGCAGGCTGCTAGTGCATTTTGAGCTCGCTTTACACCTTATCCCGGTGTTCTCTCGTGCTCGTCCGCTGTGCTGGTCAGTTTTGGCTGGGTCCCACTTAATATGAGGCTGATTCATAGGTATACAGTAGCTTCAGATTAGATGCGAAGTTATAAATATACTCCCCCAGTAAGAGTTGGTACCTCGAGGCGCGATTTTAAAACATGTATGCTGATTTTGCAACTTCTCATGAACTACCAGAAGTTACACCATGAAGCTTGGAGGTTATATCATGTGGAGCATAAGAGCATAGTATGCTCACCATACTTTCCTGAGCCGCAAGATGGTGTTCGTAAAGGTGACTGTGCACGAGTCGAAAACGGGATATGCTAAGAATATGCGGAGGGGTGTATGTCATAGGATTATGTACCAACGGGGTTTGTTACCCTAGCAAGTGAGCGACATGCAACCGTTCAGTGAACGGTTATCACTGGTCAGCCGCTCCGGGTCTACTTGCGTCGGAAGCGGCCTCAGGAAGTGAAGCGCTGCCACGCTGCACAGCACACTCTATTGAGACCGCTAGACCGAGTGTACATAACGACTTGTATTCACACGCCTACAGAGTTGCTCTCTTCCCCAAGAAACCGTCATCGGATAAACCGATTCAGGCCGAACATGAAGGAGACAGTGAACAGAGACATATCATTAGCTCGCACACTCGACGCTAGGGAAAGAGTGGTTTCCACTCTAGCACTTGACATCATCATTATATTTGAAGCTTGTTAATCCTAACATATTTTTCAAGTATGTCCGTATCTGGTAGCAACAGTGGTAAATCGTACTCGTGGACTGATGTTTCGGGTAACGTGTACTACTATTACAAGCATCCTATGACCAAGGCTGTTTTGTTCATTTTACTACAGGAATTATGTGAACGTTTGGCCTTCTACGGGTTGATGCCCAACCTTCAGATTTTCCTCAAGGAGTATCTTAGGGTTGATGACGCTGGTGCTAATTCGTATATCTCTACGTTCAACGCTATCCTTTATGTTACTCCACTTCTCTCTGCTGTGATATCGGATACGATACTTGGACTCTACCTCACTATTCTGGCATTCTCCTTCGTTTACATGGCGGGTTTGGCTCTTCTAACGCTGTCTACGATACAT